AAAAAAAAAAAATAAAAATAAAAATAAAAATAAAATAAATAAATAAATAAATAAATCAACACATTAAATATAAACAAATAAATAAATGAAACAATGAGAATAAAATTAAAAAAAAAAAAGGATTTATATGTATAATATATTTTCATACGTGACCCAGTATCTTCAAAAAGCTGCTTATTGGTAGGATCAGCTTTGGGAGAAACAACATGGATTACAATAATCCTGTCACACTCTTCAATCAGGTTATTGATTGCCCAATTCAAAGCTGATTTGCTTGTGGCTGAATAATCCATTCCAATCCCAACCAAACGTGCCCTTGCCATCTTACTTATACAATCTTGTGATAATCAATCCTTTATTGTTGATCGAACTTTTTTGTGTTTATGTGTGTATTTGTAGTGTGCTTTTTTTTTTTTGGGCCAAGTGCTCTGTTTGGATGATTGGAATTATGGAATAAAAGGGACTCTCTTGAAGGAGCTAGAAAGTGACAATTAAATAATTTATTTAATTCTCTAAATTATATGCCCTGTTTGTTTCCACTTTATTATATCCTTTTTTTTTCATGATTGATTAAAAAGATAACTTGTTTGGTAATCAGCTGTTAGCTGTTAGCTGTTAGCGGATTGCATTAGCTGTTTTGACCAGCGTATTTCGTTAGCGGTTTTGACCAGCTGATTATGTAAACGATTTGTAAATTAGTGTTTGGTAAAATTAGTTATTTTTAATTGTTTGTGTATTATATAGTTACTTAGAAATGTGTTAGTATAATTTAATATTTTGTTTATCTAGGATAAATTTATTTTTCTAGTACTTATTAAATAAGAAAGAAAATTGAGAAATAATTGTACATAATTTCTAAAATGGCAAACTAGTAAATCAAACATTTTTATTTTTACATGCAATTATTTGTACAACTACTAACAATTTAGTTATATATTTTTCTTTTCTTTTCTTTTTCTATATATATTTTTCTTTTCATTCACGTTATTGCATAGTTTTTATTTATATAAATCTTTTAAATATTTACCTCACTACATAAAGAACCCCTTAATTAGGCCCCTTCAACAAAAAAAGTCATTGATCTTCCAAAACGCTCCAAATGGGAGCGTTTTCAATTTCAGCTTTTTCATTCAATCCGCCAACTTTAAAAGCTATCTAACCAAACACAAATTTTAGCGGTTTTAGTTTGGTCAAACCTCTAAAATTGCTCAAAAAGCCAAAAGCTGACCAAAAAGCCATTTACCAAACAAGGCCAAAAAGAAAAGTTGGCGGTTAGAATGTGTCCAAAAGGAATTATCATCAGCACACAGCTTTGCTGCATTTGGACAATGAGAAATGTTACGTTGTTGTAGTGTACAACTAGGTTGACAACACACGTAAAAAAATATTCATAAAAATTAAAATAAAAAAAATACATAAGTGGATATTTTTATTTGTATTGTCGACTTGTACACTAGGGTGGCTATGTATTATTTTTTTCTGGACAATTCATTCTCTGAGTCGGTTTTAGTTAAACTCGGGTCAAGTTTCTAATCTTGGTACTCAAATTAATAACATCGTTATAATCATTTTCAATAAAATAAAAAAATAAAATCGTTATAATATTATAGCAAAAATTTTGATAGGTTAACCTTTTGTTCTTATATGATACTACACATGTTAATTTATTCAGTTAAAATATCATTTGTGAGTTGTCCCACATAGTTTATATAAGAAAAATTGGCCTAACTATTTTTCTAGTGGACTACTTCTTTCACCAATTGATTTTTTTATGGAACCTCATTCGGACTTCATCTGGGCTTTCTCTGTTATAGTATAAATTAGTCATATTTACTCTATATAAACAATGTATAATTAGTCATATTTTCTCTATATATACAATGTGGAACAACTCACAAATAATATTCTAATACGTCCCCACTTGTGAGTCCTTAATAAAAAAAACCCAATATATGCGCGTAGTACTGACTTGTCAAATTATTTCTAGTATCAAACTTCATTATTTTATAAAAATTACTAGTCCTAGATATCAACACGCTCTGCTATCTTAATTTTTTATTTTTGTTTATTTAGCCGATAAACGTTTTTCAGTTACCTAACTATTGGACAGTCTAGACACGCTCTCTAGATTTAATGCAATAGGCGCTTTAGGATCTAGAAAAATGGGTTAGTCTAAGTAGTAAACACAACTGTGCAAGTTCATTTAATTAGGTCGTATTATTCCCGACAGTTGTAGGTCATCGTTTGCTGGTTATGAATTAGACGCAACAACAATTATGAATTGAAAGTTTAACTCTACTATAGAGAAAATTATAATCTAAGTGATCAACTTAAATAAGATCAATAAATCTAAATTTATCATTCAAAATAACATGCACAATTCTAAAAAGGTAATAAAATTATCGACCACGAAAATTTATCAGACATCCTTATCGTGTACGAGTGCGGTCTACCTTCCGGTACTGTGGATTTCTCGTATTTGTATGCCTGCATCTTCTTTCTTTTTTTCTAATCTTTTGTTCCTTCTCTGCTGCGTGAATTTTTCTAGCTGTGTGGTTGTGCCCCTTCAAATAAATCTTCTTCTCAAGAAGACTCTCAGACCCAAGTCTATTGCTAATGCGTGAAACTGGCTTCAATTAATTCCCAATAGTTGTAGGACT